ACTACTATCAGTTTCGACTATTTTGTAGTCTGATTCCAATGGTAGAGTTAGAGAGGGTAACTTTTTAACTTCATCTTTTATTCTTTTTACAAGTCTTACGTCCTCACTATTGAAAAACTTTTGTCCTTTGGGACTAAGTTTTGCATATAATGGTCCAGTCAGTTTAGATAGATCCTTTATATACATTCGAGCATAATTGAGTATGCCCAAGAATTTTTGAAGTTCTTTAGTTTCCTCGATTTTGTCGGGAAAGTCAAGAATCTTCTGAACTATGTGATCCTACAACTGAATTTTTCCCTGTCCAATCCTCATTCCTAAAAATTCAATGTACTCTTTGGAGAGTTCCATTTTCTTTTTAGAAATTATAAGGCCATTTTTCAGGAATTCAGTGAAAACAACTTGTAGGTGTTTGATATGCTCAGTCTCAGTTTTGTTGAAGATGAGAATATCATCTATGTAAACTAAGACAAAATCAGAATATTTTTTGAATATCTGATCCATCTTTCTTTGGAAAATTGAAGGTGCATTTTTCAATCCAAACGGCATGACTTGCCATTCAAAATGTCCTTCGGGACAAGTGAAGGCGGTCCATGGAATGGATTCTTTTTGCATTTTGATCTGCCAGAAGCCAGACTTACAATCAAACTTGCTAAAAATTTTTGAATTTTGAATGCAGTTGATTAGTTGGTCTTTATCTGGTATTCTATATGCATCTTCATAAGTGTTATCATTTAGCTTTTTATAATTTATGACCATCCTAGCCTTTCCTCGTTTGATTTCTGCATGATTTCTTACCATGAATGCTGCAGAGGAATGTCTAGAATTGGAATGCTTTATGACTCCTAAGGCTAAAAGTTCTTTTATTTGAACCTCAAATTCTTGTCTGTCAAGTGGACTGTGATCCATCTTGCCACAAGTAATTCTAAGTTCAGGATTTATTATTTCTAAATTTGCTGTACATTTGTTTCGATCCCAATATTTAATTGGGTCTTCTCCTAAGACTTGAGTTTCATCAGCTATTCTGATTAACTCATCCAAGTTCAATTTTTTGTAATTTTTATTTTTTCTTTTGTTTTCCTCTTTCTGAAAGTTTGAAAGAGTTTTTTCTATATTTACATGCACTACTTCTTCCTCATTAATTAAGTTATCAAAAAACTGATAATCTATAGAATCTTCAAATATTTTCGAAGTCTCTTCTGAGGGACTTGGTGTATAATTAGATTCTAATAAATCATCAAAAAACTTTTCATCACTCAAATAATTACTATTATATTCAAAATACTTATTTAATTTATTTTGGATTTTTTGGGGTGCTTTTTCTTCTGGGTTTGGAAGATTCATGACATATCTATCCGTTGGAGTG